AGTCTTTTTTAGGTCCATTAAATGCTTTCACACAAGACTAGCAGGCTGTGCTTTTAGTGACATGGCAAAGGGAAACAAGCACAGTAGTGTGAGTGTAAATAAGCATCAGGTCACATGATTGTGTTGTGCCCCCTCTCTCCCTCTCTCTCTCTCTCTTTATTCTTGCCCAAAGGAAAAGTCATGCCCTTCATCAAGCTGTCATATGGTCAATACCCCTAATGTTAGTTAGATCATGCTCAGAGCAAGGATCGAAAACAGGTTGGAGAATAACCAAAACACACACACTAGTCCTCTAAAACACACTGTACATCACTCTAATGAAGCTAGAGTTGCTTCCATACTAACCCACTTTAATACAGGGTGTGTGTAGGTCCTATTGCCCCCTTCTTACCAGTAGTGTGATCCACTGGGCCGGTGCCATTGAGCAGCACAGAGTGCAGGTGAGGGTGAGTCTTCTCCAGGGCCGTGCAGAACTCTGCGAAATGGTCTCTGTCCTTGCTTATCAGGATCTTCAGGAGAAGGTCCACTTTTTCCGAGTTGGAGGCGCAGTTGTGTCCCAGCTCGTAGCGTTCAGACTGGCTGAGGGTCCCGCAGTGAGCCAACACATCCACCACTCGGTCCGCTTCTGTTATCGACTCCACCAAGTTCTGGTAACATTTCTCCAACAACTCTTTATGCTTGGGCTCCATCTCTTTCTCATCTTTCTCTTTTATTTAAAAACGAATCAGCCTCGGGGACAAATCCAGCTCACTTAATCTTTTTTCTGTGCGGTTCACTTTCCAATTACGTGCTAAAACTGTTGGCGACGACTCCCCGAAATATCCTGCTCGGCCACTTGGCTTTTCAACCGAATTGAAGGATACACAAGATAGTAGCCATATTTGTTGCCCAAGGCTGTTGACTGCGCGAAGATGACAACACATTTTCCCAAACCTCCGCTTCGTCCTCCCCCGACGAAGACGAAGAGGGGGAAAAAAAGAAGGAGGAAAAAAAGAAAAAGACGTGTCTGCCTCTTTAAGCTCCGCTGTGTTACGGAGACATTATCGTCCTGAACTCAAGTTGTTTCGACATGTTTTAAAAGTGTGGAAAAACTCTCCAAGAGCTCTCTCTCTCTCTCTCCCTCTCCCTCTCTCCCTCTCCCTC